GGGCGGAAGAGAGCCGTCTGTTCCGTCACATCATACTTAATTATATTGTTCGAAGCTTTCCTTAAATTTGATGTTCCCGCACTGACCATACGTACTTTTTTCAGCAAATCAGAAGCATGGATTCAGGCTCGCTAATTAATGATATGTTTTAAAATATATATGTTGGTGATACTCTTAAAATACGTATGGTCAGTGCACGACAACGAACTTTTTTTTGAAAATTCACGTGCAATACTATATTTAGTCTTCAATATTAGTACACTTCTTGTAGCAATCGATAAAACAAAATCTGAAGATATAACATTCAATAATACCTTTCAATATTCATAATTATCAAGTTATAACAGGCCTCCGGAGGACGAGTTGCGACGTAGGACCTGAGGTGCCGGAGTCAAAGCTCGTAATAAATATAACTATACAAGCTTATTAAAGCTCTTTGACGACAATGAGCATGCCTTAAACGGAGTGGGCAACTCATACACAAAAAGTTACCACCAAAGCGAAGGAATGGTATCCCCTCACTTAGCTTTAGAACTACGAGTAGAGCTTGCATCGGAAATACAAGAAATTGGCTACCTCGAGGTGATAAATGTGGATTTCTGTGTTTATATAATTAGTACCTTACTATAGCCCGTCCCCAGTACCCTTCGGGAGGTCGTGGGTAGGCTCCGCCTACCCCCCGGACGTTAATTTATTAAATATATAAATTATATATAATATGTACTGTGTTATATATCGAAGATTCTATATGATAGACATCTTATTTTCATTTTCAATTTCAGTTTCAATAGGTGGTTAGGGTGAAAGAATGGCATTGTTTACGCTAGATTATGATTATAATTATAATTATAATAGAATAGACGGTAAATACCTGGAATAGCATCATTTTCAACTTTGATACCCGAAATAGCATATAAACTTTCTAATTAGGCCTGAAATAACACATTGTGTTATTTCAGTCGTTTTTAAATAATGTGTTAATCTGGTCTCAAAAAAATAAAATTATGCTATTCTGGTCTCAAAGTTGTTTCGTTATTTTGATGTAATAAATAGCCTCATGTCCTTTTGTATAGCCCCTTCCCTTCCCCCCTCCCTATATCCTCTCATATGAATAATATCATTTTGTTGTAACCAGATTAACACATAAATTTTGTGACTAGGATAACATCTTTTTTTTCTTGATGATTAGATTAATATATAAATTTTGTAACCGGAATAGCACCTTTTTTTTTCTTGCAACCAGATTAACACATAAATTTGTGACCAGAATAGCATCATTTCTGTTCCTGAGACCAGATTAACATATTTTATTTTGCGACCAGAATAATACAAAAGACTTAACCTGAAATAGCATATGTCATACCTCGATTAGCACTTAGGCTATTTCGGGTATCAAAGTTCAAAATGATGCTATTTGTGACCAAAAGGGTATAAACAGGACTCCGATTGTGTACTTAGAATCTACAAGTGAAGAGCTATGTAGGATGCTAAAAGGAGGACTATATATACAGGTATTGGGAGCCATAAGGGCTAGGCCAAAAAGGGTGAAAGGGTCCTAGGCGTAAGATGCCTAGGTCTAGAGCTATAGAGCTAGGGCTCTAAGCTGTGAAAGGAAGGTCCAAGAGAGCCGTCATATCATACTATGTATGTAGTATGAGCCAGTGGGCGGAAGAGAGCCGTCTGTTCCGTCACACTATTCCAGGTATTTACCGTAGAATAGATAAAGCTAAAGCTAAAGTTAGCTTACGAACACCTATACAATTCCCTCATGAACCAGTGTTTGCATTCAAGTTAGTATTTCCCGTATTCTGTATACGGGCCCTTCAAGTTAGTGGTACGTATTGATTATTTCGAACAATACGTCTATATATAGGATAGAATTCAATACCACTGGAAGTATTAAATATTTCTATAATACTGAATAATACCACTAAAGGGATAGAGAAATACCGGAATATAGTAAACTACCCTAAGAAAGTGGTATATAACCCTGCATTTTATCGAAATTTGAGGCCATTCCCATTTTACACAATCAAGTCACATGACCAAAACTTTAAAAATAACCCCTCGTTCAGTATTTTCTAGTATTTCCGTATATTGCCTCAAGTTTCAGTACCAGATAATATATACGGGCATCAGTTTGGTAACCCTCAATACGTGCGATATACCGTATCAAACCTCCAATACGTGCTACTATAATACTATCGTATACTAACGCGAACACTAGTTTAAGCGAAGTGAGGTGGAGATGCGCTAGGAAATGCGCTAGGATGAATGTGGTGGGTTTACCGAGTGCAGAGGAGTAATATGTACTCTTAAGGGGTTTTTAATTTTCCTTTGCACTTTGGGTTTAATTTAAGGATAGGGATCTACTCATAAAGGTAAGGTAGAAGAAGGGTTTTTAAGTTAGTTTTCCTGAGTAGGAAAGGCAAGGAAAAACATGGGAGTACGCAGTTGAAAAGCGTTCTACGTCATCGGTATAGCTTCGTTGTCATGATAATACAATGACTATTGACGCATCTGTCTTTTCTTATACTTCCCGATCTCCGAGCCTACCTTTTTTTATACCTTGCTAGTTTGAGTTTGGTTGATGGGATGGGAAAGTTGTGCCTCAGTATCTGGCATGGGAGAATCACTCGTCACTGGCAGGGATTTCAAGTTAGAAATAAGACACTTGGTAGATTGTGGAATATATAAGATATATTACGATGTGTATAATTAGCTTTAGAGTTTATACTCATATGATGTTATGAAATCATAAATTGCTTAAAAGCTTCGAATTATACTGAAGTACTCAAGTTAGTCAAAAAACAGATCTATTGATTACTGATAATCAAATATAAAGTTTATGTTTTCATTTCAGTTTAAATCATATGTTTTTTGAATGAGTAAGTTATCTCTATAGATAAATTTCAAAGGAATTGAGTTTTTAGAGGAGTATATTTACAGCTAGTTGTATATATATAACATGTCCTATACCGTAACATGGCCATTATCCAATGAGTATAACCTTCCAATCATATTTGTGCAGAAATTCTTTATATCGATTATAAAGCAATTAACTTGGAGTTCCTCTAATCGTATATCTAATTGGCAAATAATCATGTGATAGTAGTATACATCCAATTACGAGATTGATTCACTTCTACAATTACAGGATCCAACAGTGCACAATACTCGAGTAGTAAGTTCTCCCTTACCCACAGCGTTTGAAGTCTCCCACGCTCCTACTCTTCCATCATATCCTATTGTAACCTGTAAAACCTGTGAAACACTGTAAATCCTCACCACATCTGGCCTTTTGAGTACTATGCTGCCTATCCTTACCTGAAGGATAGGCTATGATGGGAGTTCTCAACGCTGGTTACCAATCATTAGTATTTTACCCTTTAACCCAATCCCGTAAGCCCTCGCCACTACTCTTAAATCCCTTTCTGTTCTCATATGTATCAGGTAATATTACCGTATAACCGAACTAACATCTAAACAAGTAATTGAAGTATCCTAGCAAGCATTTCTGAGTGTTAATTACCCAATCAGTGACGACAATCAGTTCTAAGGAACACATTAGCTCCAAACCTTTCCTCAAATCAGTAATTGAAGTATCCTAGCAAGCATTTTCAAGTGATGATTACCCAATCAGTGACGACAATTAGTTCTAATGAACACATTGGCTCAACACATTTCCTCAAACAGGATGGTTAGCAGCAAACTGGATCCACCTGTAGTAGAACTTGAATTTTTCCCACCACCAGCATTGGCCCAGCAACCCAGTAGCTGGAGAATAGAATTGTAAACACCATCTCGCACCTCCCCTCGATTCTCTTCTCTTTCTCGTCTTCACAAACAAACATCCAACGAGCTTTGTATTTAATCTTCCTGAGCCATCTACGCTTCTTGACTCCTTTCCAAGTTCCATTCTAAGATACCTCACACAACGTACAATATACATTATCAGAAACTCAAAACCATCGGCGCTCCTACCCTTCTTTTTCTCTCTACCGTTAAAGAGAAGATTTTCGATTCAGTAAGTAACTACCCTTCCGTTCATATCCCTATCTCTATTGCATCGTACTTGTAACTTCCTCTTTCAAGTCTTCTCGGTATTTCTTCTTTTGCGTACGTACAGTACTTTCAGCCTTTTTTGGTTGAATGGTAATACATTGCCATCTGTTTGGTTTAAATTGTACCATGCATTAGTGTTCTGTATATTAGCGATATCTGTAAATCCAAGTTGTGTTTTATGTTAACATTGTTTGATGCTATATTGCATCTTGAATTTGTTTTTTGAATATTGATATTGTAAATTTGTTTATTGTAATACTTTGTACATTTGACTCGTAATCTATACAAACACACCCGCACTCCCCCCCTCCATTTTTCGTTTACACGAACGAGAATGCATCAGCTTTTCTTTCACAATCACTTGGAACTTTTCCACCTCTTCTTATTGATCCTGCTCTACACGAACCGAACAGTATCTAACCGCTCAATGCTTTAGTATCCAATAATGCTTGCCATATCCTTCCGCAACGTTGCGAATCCATCGCAAACCAATGGCCCACCTAACAACTCCCTCTCCCGCCACCTGCCATCCCCGATCTACGCAACAAGGTCGACATTCGTGAGTCCCGGTCACGTGGAGCACATCCGTCAGGCAGCCCAATACCTGAATGAAGGTCGGACCGTGAACACTTTCCCACTCCCGGGTGGCCTCACCTTCGGCCAGCCAACCTGGGTCCTCTCACGCCAACCATCCAACCCCGACCCTATCTACTACTCCCACGCGCCCGACCACGGCCACGTCGCCGACATTGACGCCCGTTGCTACTCCCACTACCCCACCTATCCCAATCATCACCTACCGACACCGACCATCTCTCGCAGCGATAGAACTGGGATCACATCTCTTCCACACTTCGATGAGCTCGAGCTCGTTGACTTCGACGTCATGGAGTGTACTTTGCTACTCGCACCCATAGATGCGACGAGAGAATGCCCAGAGAATGAGAGAGTGAGACTACATGGTGTGGGAGATCTCGCCTTGTACCCAGACCACACAGTTCATTTCAGTGGTTCTGGGCATATCACGTTCCACAGGATCGAGAAAGAACTTTCTTTCCAGATGATTGAGCTCGAGCTCCATGAGGATTCAAAACTTCCTAAGGGTGCTCCGCTACCGTCCAATTTTGATCGATTTACAGGTTAAGCTGTGGGCAGAAAAGACTCTGTAGAGAGTGAGGAAAGATGGACTGGAGATATGCTTCAAAATGAGGATGAGGATTTTTGCTTGTGTTGCTGATGCGTTTAGGGTTACTTTCGTTATCATGTTCCCTTCTTTTTTTCTAGTCTTTCTTTGTAATGTTCTATGAGTTTTGTTTGGTATTTTTGGATGTAGAAAGAAGGATTCTGTCAAATATTGAGAAAGCGCGGGTTTCGGGATGTTGTTTGATATAGATGTATATCTAGCGTTTTGTTCATGTTAGTATTTTTGTATATTGTAAAATAAAAATAAAATAAAATGTATTTTTGCGTTATCCATTATATATTTAGTGGTTTTTATAAATCTTTATAAACCATGATACTTACTATAAGGTTGTTGAATATTTTCAAAATATGGTTTGAAATCATTACATTTTGGTCTAAATACTCAACTTATAATGATATTGATTTCTGAAAACTTATTCTAAAATGTTTCAATCCGTCTCATTTGTTTGGTTTTTGTTTGAATGAAAATAGCCCTGAAATAATAAGAACTTATATAATAAAGGGATAAAAATGTACTCGTATGCGTGTTCGATAGAAGAGTGGGAAAGAATGGAATTGGCAACCAAAGTAGCTCTTACTCGTAGTGGGATATTGGAAAGACTTAGCTTAGTGTTGATGGCAAGATTACGTAATGATGCTATTGGCGAATATGGACCCAGCACCTGCCTCTTCGAAATAGCAACCTTTTTTTTCCACCTACACAGGCTGCCATTTCTGTTACATCTATCTAATGGCTTCGAGTACCTCGAATTTCGTGATAATGAATCTAGTCCCAAAATATCCCATTTCGGTAAGGTTACCAAGCAACGCTATGAAATTAGCACAAGAAACCCTAACCTCAAATAAAATCTAAAGACTCTACTCCTCGCAAGAAACCTTTCTCCTACGAGACGAAGCAAGTAATATTGAGACTTGGGCATCAATCTACACAAGAACTGCACTTATACAATATGAGGCATAGGAAGTCTCATACAGGAATGATCAGAGCATACAAGTCAGAACCTTCCTGGTTTCCGTGCCTTTGAATTGGCCAATGCTCAATTAATTCAACAAAAGGGGGGTCGAGGACTTACAAGTTGTCAACAGGTACAAGTTCCTCATATTAACTGGCATAATAACCCAAAAATGAGCTTCATTAGTTCCTTTCGTACTGTCTGCCATTCACTCTCAATTGCTATACTTGAGTAACTTAAACCCGAAGATTTACCGGGCATCGCGACCCACATTTGCACATTTAATTTTAACTTATTATCCTCTTTATTTTCTTGTTATAATACATCTCAACAATTCTTGACTTCAATCTAATTCCTTCTTTACAACATTTAAATCTTTGCTATCTTTGCTATTCGATATCCATCTATCTCAAAGTTTAAGAGTTTACAACTTCTGGGAATTAAATTGTTTCTTCAATTTCTTGACATTTGAATCACAACTGCATGATTCAACATGGTGAGACCAAAGGAAGATCGCAAAATGTAAGCAGGCGCTACATTTGAAAAAAAAAAACCATAATATAAGACTAATACAAACACTGCAGTCATTTACATCGAGTGGCATCTTCAAATTTACCCCTCATCCCCCGCAAATCTTGGGAATACTATGTAGCGATACTGCAGCCGGGAATTCCACTAGAGAAATGTGACCATGGGGACTTTTTATGGATGAAGGTTATGGGAGTATGTTACATTATATATCTTCTCCTTATTCACTTGTGAGTTTGGATTAATTGACATTTGAATAGACCACCACAATCGAGAGGATCCTTACAATGCACCTCAGGAGAACCGGTCGGAACTCAGTACTTATGGATGGAGATATCGGGCTAACAATTGATACGAAAGTTGGGGATATGCAGTGCTTGGGGTTGGGCGTGTATGCCTTCTGGGAGATTGTGAAGGTGGAGAGGTGGTGGGAGTATACGGTTCGATCGGCGGATGCTGATCAGAGGTTGAGAGCAATGAGAGAAGAACGACGCCGGAGTATGTTGGCTTTGTCAACTAGGGTAGATGAAGAATTGGGAGTGATGGAAGAAGGAATACCTAGGAGAAGGCCAAGGAACGACGAAATTTTGAAGAGGGAGGCGGTTGAAGAGGTCAGAGGCGAGAACCTCAAGCGAACGAGGTGGGAGTTGGAGGGTGAGACGGAAGAAATGGCCGAACGAAGGAAGAAGGGATTGTACGAGAAGCTGGAAGTTATGAGGTTGAAAACCGAGAATGCCCCACCAATCGACACCCTGAACAAAGTTGCCGAAAGTACGAATGTGCAGTTACGAGTTCACGATTACTCCGTTGTTAAACAGCGACAAGAAATATTGAAGAATGCCAAAAAAATTGGCCCAAAATTTGAAGGGATGCTTCAGAGATTTGAGATCTCGTGGGAGCGGCAACGACAAGACATCATCAATAGAGACCCACAGTTTAGGCGCAGCAGACAGGCTATCCAGGCGGTTGCGAATGTCGTGCAAAATCATCAGAAATCTATAGAGCATATAGAAAGGTTCATCAAAGCCAAGGAAGATGAAAGGGCTAAACAATTGAAGAGTAAGAATCGAAGAACCGAATCTTCCGGCGACATTGTACGCCGTGTTTTATTTATTTGTAATGTTATGAGTGAAGCTGACCCATACCTAAATCAAATACGATGAAGACATAGCAGACTCGGTCTTAGCAGCCCTGCGCCAATAATATCCAAACACAAATCTCCATGTCCTGAACGAAATTGGTATTCAGGTATACTGTACCGAGTTGTCCTCCATTTACACGTTATAATTTGGATGCCAAGATACCAGAGAATGCATATAGAACGAATTGGAAGGCGTTGAAACAGCATATTCAGTCTATCTTACTCGAGTACTGACCACGTCGATTGAGTTGATGGATGATAAGGGTAAAAACCTCGAGATGGTAATCTTACCAGCCTGAAAGATTGAGAGCAGATATGTATGAGGACGGTAACCCGCATGATCGATACGATACGCCGTGTTCTCGAGCGATGGATTTTCAAGCAGAAACGTTCGCAAGCGTAACTGTGCTCCAAGGCCAGTCTCAAAATACCTTTGAATTTTAACTTTTTCTACAATCAGACACTTGAGAAATTACATTATGGACGAGCTTAGCTCAACTAGAGAAAAGCCCGATATGCTACTTACTACCTGAACGTATTTGTATGGGGGTAGGGGAAACTCGTGAGATAATAAGTCAGTCAAAATACCGAGTCAATCGACCTTTCTTTACATTGGTAACTGTGGCATCCCAGTTTCATCCTTGCAATTTGCCAAGATATTAATCACTACTACGAGTAATAATGAAGCCATTACCAAAACGTGCAGAGTGGTTTGTTTGCGTTGCGTTGATTTGTTTTGATTTGAAAATATTAGGTGTTTCTGGTGACTGTGGCTATTGTGTCTAGGGATGGCTTTCGTAGTTCGAGTAATTCTTAATTCGTCGATTAGATACCGGTACTGATATTCATTCATTCCTCTTTCCACGATACCATAAAGGGGAGTCGGAGGATATTATATGCTATATACTCTCCATTAATACAAGTTATTGACAATTTGACACGAATTCAAATATGCAGAACACATCAATCATGACTAGAAATGTTCTTTGGGATTGGGCCGGGAGTGAAGTACCTGTATGTTTTTCTTTACAATTGTATTGTAAATTTGTCAGATGAAGGAAGTTTGGGAGGGGGAAACGGGCAATGCCATGGATTTGATGATTAGTCAGCATACCGGTGCTCTTTACCGAAACCAGAAGCATGTCGTCATGACCCGCTATGAAGCCCTAGATATGCTTCGAAGGACCAGTTTCGCCCAAGGGGTTTCGAATGATGAATGTTGAATCGAGAGAAACATGAGGAAGAGAATAAAGGGAGGATTAAGGATGTCGAGCAATTTAGGGCTAAAAAATTGTATTAGTAAGGTTACTACTGGGCAATACAATTTCCGTATATCTTGTAAATCCTAAATCTAATTCAGATAATCGAATATATGCTAATCCCGTCAGTCTTTCAATGTAAATATCTAGAAGCAAAAAACATTTATTTTCCCGTTTTCTGATTCTAGATCTTGACATTAATTAGCTCGAAGGATCTGAATTAATCAATTCTTTATTTTCACAACACTACTTCAAATCATACCACCCATTCTCTCCCCTTTGACAGCAACATAGGAGACTCGCAACTTTAGTTGATAAAGTCGCAGTCTCCCTCTTAATTACCCAAGATACTAGTTTGACCCCCATAATGAAACTCATTCATGTCTTCCTCTCCGCCACTAATACCGGTATCATATTGATCCGAGTCAGATATCCTCACGGGATTATAATGACTGAATAATTCCTTCGGATCATATCTCCGCTTAAGTGCCTTAAGTCTCGGTAATTTTCTCTCACTATACCATACTTCCTCCCCTTCATCACGCCCATAGTTTATATACACCCTTAGATCATCGTATCCACTCGAAGCCGCCAACTCTGATTGAAAAGAAGCACCAAAGGCATTCATGGCATCACTTTGTGATTCGTTATTGATTTGCAGAGCAACGAATGTATACATCGTAGTATTCCGATACGGATATGCAGTTTCGTTATCGGGAATCGAAAGAGTTACTGGATTTGCGAATTTCTCAATTGCCCAGAAAGTTGTTCTTGATTCTGGAAAGTCGGCGTAGAAATCGGCGAGTTTTTGGAATGTTCGAATGAAAGCTGGGATGTCGACGCTGTAGAGATTAACGGACCAATTACTATTGTTGGCGCCACGTTCGCAGACAATTTTGCCACCTCCAAAGGAAAATTCGTCGTAAAGTCTGGTCCAGGGGATCTGGGTTATATTTTGTTGGATGGGGTCGAGAGAAAGAAATGGAGCCAATGCTTCGAGGGCTTCTTGCATGGGTCCAATCCATTCTGCGGTTAAGAGGATATTGAGCTATTGTGAAGTAAGGATGTTAGTTAGCTTGCGAGGGATGTCGATCTGCAGAGAAACTTACACCGCCAAATTTATCATCCCAGTTTCCTCGGAAGGTTAATGCCATCTCTTTGTGTTGATTGGTCCCAATATCCTTAATGATTTCCCATAATGATGCGTTGTCACTGGCATGAAATCTTATATCTGCAAGTATGAGATCTCCATTGTTGGTTGCATCATGTGCAATATATGTGGCTTCATACACCACGCCGAATTGATGACCGGCTCCTCGAGCTCCCCAGAAAAGCTCAGAATTCTCAGTTTTGGAGGCTGTGATTAATTCGCCTGTTCCGGTGACATATTTTACCTCTAGAAGGGCATCGATCACGAGGCCGTGAAGACCAGTATAAGGTCCTACTCCTGCACCTAGAGTTGCGCCTACTGCGCCGACGCATTCTCCTACTCCTGTTTCTGGTAAATATTAGCATATGTTAGTGATTATGGGCATGGAGAGCGTACGAAGTTCTTTGCCAGCGTCGTATAATGGTTGTATCAGTTCACCAAATTTGACGGATCCTCCGATTGTGAGGGTACTTGCTTCTTTGTCTAACTTGATACTATGGAAAAAACCTAAGTCAATGTCGATTCCATTATTACAGCTGTGTAGTGTTGCTGAGTATCCATGGCCTCCCCCCGTTGCCAGGAAAGGAATATTGTTGTGAGAAGCAAATTGGATCTAGGTAATGACATCAGTAATTGAGAGAGTAGTTGGCCTGAGTTTGTGGAGTTGTAGTAAGAAGGATGAGCATGCGGCACAATTCTGGTAGGCGTTATGAATAACATGGGGTGAGAATCCTCGGTCTAAGAGCCCATAACAAGGGCTACGAGCACATTTTATCGATGATACAAGCGTGCCAAGTGGGACTTACAATCTTTTGAATATCCGACGGTAGAGCTGGTTTCAGAGCAATGAGGTATGTAGGCTCGGCCGGGGGGTAAATGGTCCATCTTTGGGTTATTGCAGAGGTGTAATTGGCCTCGTTAGGTAGCCAGACTTCAGACCCAGGTGAGAGTATTTGTTTGAAATGAGCTGATATAAATTGTACATTCAAAACGTTTGATGCGAGAGATAGGTCAAAGAGCAAGCAGAGGATCGCAAATGTGTAAAACGGGAACATCATGACTGATTGTAGAGTGGGAAAGAACGCCGGGCAAGGAAACGGGCAAGGAAACGAGCGGTGGGGTACGGAGGAGCTACTATGACTTGCAAGTGTATCGATACCGGAAGTCTCAGTGCTTCAAGCGCCGTGTGCAACCAGGTAGTTTTGCTTACACCAGTGACTCTCCGTGATCCCGACCAAATGTATGTTACACTTGTAACCATTGTGCAAGTTGAGTATATGATCTAGTTCGTCCGCGATGTGTACCCGAGGTTGCTGTGTCCAAAGGTTATGGGGCATAACAGAGTAAGTTACGATGTGATGGGCCGTGTGTCTATGTCTGAGTTTCCTCTGGGGAAGCTGCAGCAAGTATATTACACACATCTCCTAGTGAGAGATGCCATGACCTCTCTCTGATGTAGTTCTCAGTCCTCCATCTGGCACTTGTGTATGCCCGCGGAAGAGTCATTTTATGCCCTATATCCGTGGACCAGCGAAACGTATAAGCCCACGATGGAGGTCATTATTCTCGGCTCGGAGCTCTCATATCCGTCTTCGTGAGTATCTATGTCCACAATAATGTTGCAGATTTCCGTATGTCAAAAGCGTAATGTTTTGTTTTTATATCAATTGTCGTGTCACGGAAGAAGTTCGGACTCGGCCCAATCATGCATTTCCGTGCCGATGTCAAATGCTTACGTAAACACTCCGTCAATTAAATCTGAAGCATCCCAAAGAAACTTCAAAAAACAATTATCCTATCTAAATCCAATTACCTCTACTCGAGTACTCCCTTCTTTCACAATCTTGACAGTATTTCAAATAAAAAGTTATAGCCTGGCTCAACACTTTGCTTCCATTGTTCCATGCCCGGCCTCAAACTCAAGTCGTGAATATGCTTCACGCCTGGCACTCCCAAGAAACCACATCGTACCCCATGCTCCCTTAAAGCTGTCGCGAAGTTCTTCGCGGTATAATATGGAACAATCTCATCGTTCTCGCCGTGGATCAAGAATGTTGGTGTGGTGTATTTGCCAGACCGTAGCTGTGCCATGGGATTAATGGCCGCGACGCGTTCTGGATCCGGCTTTCTACGCCAGTCATCATCAGAGATCCCATTCAGCATGAGACTGAGGCCGTTCCCTTCTTTGAAAAGGGACAGAACAAGTTCTGATCTTGGATCTCCTGGACGAACCCATCCTAGGCCTGTTAAATCGGTACCTTCGGCGTCATAATTTGTGATCTATGGTCATGTCAGTTTATCGTAGGTTTATCAAAAAGGGGCGTCTTTCTTACCGGACATTTAGGGAGAGACTTTCGAATTTTGTCCATAGAGAGCGTCCTTCCTGGATATTGATTTCCACGACTGATATCTAGGTCTGTCGACGTCAGTTATTATAATATCATTCAAGCTTTAGGTCGAAACACTCACCTCCAGATTCGAAATCTGTTGGACTATAAAATGCCAAGATCGCACGCGGAGGCTTCAAACCAGCATCTTTTGTCGTCCAGGCTGTTGTCATGGCTAAATGACCTCCCGTTGACCACCCAATAACTATAATTTTGGTCGAGTCTACCACGATTCCTCTCTCACTCAGGAGCCCCTGCAATTTAGTTTGGGCCCAACCATACGCATCGCGAATATCCACCATTGGTCCACTGATGAGATCTACCTCTGGACACAATCTATAATCGAGACTGACGGGAAGAATGTCGTTTTCAAGGAGGAACGACGTTTGGGCTGGACGAATGGCTTTCCTCGACAGCGTCATGTGTCCACCGCCATGAATCATCAATGCTAGAACCGACAGTCAGCTTCTCGAAACTCCCTATGATACGTTCCAATATTACCTTACCAATAGGCATTGATTTCAAATGAGCCTTTTCCGGCAAGAAGATATCTGCGAGTACCTCAACACCATCGACAACCTTATACGTCACTGTGTCCATTATCTGGCCAAATTTCGACGTTTTATTAGTTTTGCTTTCACGGATTGGAGTGTCTAGGGGCTTTTTGGAAGCAATGAGTAGACGCTGTGTGTTAGAATCTGGTGTCGGTCCTTGCGTATACGAAGCTGACGCGTATCCGGCTTTCTTGAAACAATCCATCCAAAATTCCGGTGGTTGAAGTGGATAATCGGCGTCATTTCCTAGCCACCAGCCATCGAGAAGTCCATACACAACATCATACCAGTCAACGAGCTCTGTAACTTCGGAGAGAATAACGAAGCCATCGTTTCTCAAGATTTCCCTCAGATGACATGTTGAAGAAGTTTTGTTGGTGGTTGCGTGGACACAATTTGTACCTATTGCGATGTCGTATTGTCCTTTCATATTTGCTGGAACATCTTTCTCAAGATTGAAGGTCTGAAAATTCATCCAGTCATAATTTGCAAACTTCGCCTTGGCATTTTTGACAAGCGAGGGAGATATGTCTGTGAAGGTGTATTCGACGGGTCGACCAACCGCTTGTAGGACTTCTGCAAGACGTGTAGTAGTGCCACCGAACCCAGCTCCAACCTCCAGAATCTTGATTGGTCCTTCGCCGGTAGTATTGGCCGCGATGCGCCTCATGAAGTCAACCAATTGCTCGGTAAGCGTACCAAGCATAGGCGAAGTAGTATAATAGTTACTCATTATCTTCTGGGCTGTCGGGTTACCAAACATCAACGCGACCGGATCGGTTCTTCCAATCAAACAATCTGCGAGTCTGGGACCAGTCAACTCTATGAGCCTCAATTCTGCCGCGTACGCAGGATATTGCCGCAGTAAGTTCTGAAGCAAGTCATTCGAACCTATCTCGGAGAGTCTATTGGAGGTTCGAACGAATGTGCTACCTTTCTTTTCAATCGTCTCATTTTTCTCAAGCATCTCCATAAATCGATATATGACTTTATGATGTCTGGGGAGATAATCAATATTCGGCAACTCTTGACCACTGCCGAGTTTCCATAGGTCAACATGGAGTGTCCTGAAAGCCTCGGCAATGTATGCCACACATAACTCATCTTGTTTTGGGGCGACCTCTGACCAATAGTTGACAAATCCGAGCTTCTTTGCTGCCGGTTCAAAGGCTGCTTGGCATTCTTCGATTGTTTCCATGGGATTTGCCAGCACTACAGGTACACTTGAGGAGACTCTTTGAAGCTTTGGGTTGGCATTGGTATTTGGTACCGTGATTACAGGCTCTGGTTGTGGTTGGACTGCTTCAATGCCAAGATATTTCAGTACATCTTTGACTGTGGACTCTAGACTGAGATCATCATCGTCAATCTCGATAGAGAATACATCCTCAAGCTCACTTTTCAACTCGACGGCAGAAAGCGAGTCAACACCAAGATCTTGCAGCGCCGCTGATTCTCGAATTTCGTCAACGGGGGCTCCACATGTTTCGGAGATCATCCGCAGGACTTGTCGCCTTTTCATCGAATTGTCGTTATTACTAGTAGTAACTTGTCTTGCTGGTTGAACGGACACAGCTGGTGCCTTGGCTTTTGCAGGCTTCAATTTCTTCATTGGTGTTGCAGAAATAAAGATCTGAGAGAGACTTGCATAGTTGCTCATCATGAGATCCTCGGCTGCAATCTCTTTTCCGAACTGTGTTTGCAGTTCCTCTGCAAGTTCAACAGCGGCCAATGAGTCTACCCCTAGGTCACCAATATTCGCATCATCAAGAATTTCCATTCCAGAAAAACCTGTATATGATGCAATCAAATTCTTAAGGTTGTTTGCGCCTGCTATTATGTCTGTAGGTGTAGGTGGTCCTTCATCGTCAAACTCGTCAGCACTACTTCTCGAATCATTTTCCGTAGGCGATCCCGGAGTGGTAATCAGTGTCAATGTTTGCACAGGCTTTCTCTCCGACGTTGTCTCTTGTGATGATTTGGGGTTTGCTGCAGCAAGCATTTTCTCGAGTTTTGTTATCAATAACTTTGTGAATCCGACACCGGTGCTTGTCATTACCAACCTACCATCTCGAGTGAACACATAGATGTCACCAGTGGCTTGGGTGCTACTAACTGGCGTGAACATAGCATACACCGTCCACGATTTGCAATTTGTAAAATCGCATGACGAGGATGACATGATCGTGCTTTCAACACCAGTAGCAACATACACATCCTCGGAAGAGCAGTGAGAGCTGCTATTGATAAGCAAACCGACGACTTGAATGAAAGCATCTAAAGCGATAGTGTCGCAGACATGAATAATTGTACTTTCTTGCACATCAACAGGAAAAGGCGGCAACTCGATTTCTGCAATTGCTTGGGTTCCATCCATCGTAATGTTTGAAATGGCGTGTAAGAAATCCGAATAGTGCACAACTGTCGAAAATAGACCGTACGCTCGTTTGGACATCAACTTTTCAGTATTAGGCTTCTTGGCTAATTCGTTGACACGATCAGATATGAGTCTCTGATAAGTGGAAAGTTGTGGTTGAACCGTCAATCCAATCCTTCCTTTCGCATGTATCGTCAGCTTGGATCTAGGGTCTGTCTTCAACGAACTCTTGACTACAAAGTTCCAAGTTTGTGGTTCTGGGCATTCTTCTAGTGTCAGTGAAACTTCTCGGTTCATATCAACCCCAAGAGGAGCTTGGAAAGCCAGGCTCTCAAAAAGCATTGCCTTTGTTTCAACATCCCCGCCTGCAATTTGTATTGCCATTGCTGCGCACTCCATATACATAGATGCAGGACATAATGGTTGTTTTCTGACTGCATGGCCCGACACAATTTTCGCGAATCGTTCGGTATCAATGTGTATCTTGAAATCTTTCAGCGACCCATCCTGTAGGGTGACGAGCTGTTTGGGGGCCAGTACTTCGACTTGTTCGAGGGGCGTTACTACTGTTGGAGGGAATTTCTCTTGAGCTTCGATCACTCTATCTACGTTTGCCAGCCAGTGTGGTGTGCGTTGGAACTGATATGGTGGAAGCCAAATTTGCTTATACCCCGCCTCTTGTGGCGATAAAAAGTTCCAGAAAGAGGCTGAAATACCTTCACGCCAAAGATTTGTGGTGACAGTTGAGAGAACTGCCAAGGGATCTTGTAAATCTCTGAGTTTCATCTCTTGGAAGCGATGATTATCCGGTTCTTGAACGGCTCTTTTAATCATTGGTATCACTGGAGTATCCATACCAGCTTCCAGAAAGATACACGGTCCGAGACGTTCTTCGATCCTTCGAATCGCATTGATGAAGTAGACAGGGTCTCTTGTATGTTGCGAAAGACGCACTGGTAATATCTGATTTAGCGGCTCCAAGGTGCAACATTCAAGAGGAATCTTTGCTTCGTTAAAAGTCAAAGTTTTTGACAACTCATCTATATCACCAAGAAGTGATTCGGTAAACTTAGAGTGGAATCCGTGGCTTACATCAAGTCGTTGAGATTTAACGCCTTTGAATCGAGATTCGACTTTCAACAAGTCCTCGGCTTCAATTATTGATGAAGAGTGGCCGACGACAATGTGACTTGTTGGAGCATTATAACAAGCTATCTCCAACTCACTGGGTCCTGACTTCATTCTCGATATGACGTCTTGCACGACATCCTTACTTGCATGAATGGCAAGCATTGTTCCCCTCTCTGGGCCCCACTTTGTTTGCATCAACGAAGCTCGGGTAGCAATCAGTTTCAGCCCATCTTGTAGTGATAGTACTCCAGCTACAGTCATGGCAGTCAGTTCACCAAAACTATGGCCTGCTATCGCGTCCACTTTGAGTCCAGCATCGATCCAACATCTCGCGCACGCATATTGCATTGCAAATGTACCACATTGAAGTGCGACGACATCTGTGATTGGTTCGGACTGAAATATTGCTGGAACGATGGCTGAGAATCCGAGATTCGTGACAAGATCGTTACAGTTATCTATGTACGCTCGAAGCCGAGGATGCGATTGGTATAAGTTCTTGTCAAGCCCGACTGTGCGCTTGCTTTGACCGCCAAACACTAACACAGTATGCTTAGGTATTTGTGGGATCTCAAAAGAGGATGCAATATTTGTTCTCAACGATTGAATGAGCCGGCTGAGATCGGACTCTGTTGTGATCCAGCGAAATTTGTGATGATGCCTGCGCTCACTCAATGTGAAAGCCAAGTCATCAAGGCTAGGCTTAGGCGATGCATCCTGGAGATAATCTCCGAGGACTTTAGCATACTTCAGCAGGCTTTCTTTCGTTGCGGCGCTTAGGATTATTGGATACTTTGCGCTGACATGAAGGATATCTTTTGGTGCCTCTATATATTGTCGTGGACCTTCACATAACAACATGGCAGCATTGCTTCCTGCAGCTCCATAGCTGTTTACGCAAGCTGCACGCAACGGAGCGGTCCATGGTATAGCCTCTGTGTTGATTGCCATTCTATCCGGTCCCAAAGCTGGGATCTTTGGATTAAGGTCCTTGTGACTCGCAAGAGGCGGAATGATGCCCTTGTTGATCATTGCAAGTATCTTCACTAGACCAGCCACTCCAGCTCCGGTCTCGCAATGGCCAATATTTCCTTTGATTGACCCCAAGTACAGAAAATTAGTTCTTTTGGATCCTCCAAATACTTCGCGAATGCTTGCTACTTCAAGTGGGTCGCCAGCTTGAGTCCCAGTACCATGAGCCTCGATGTAGGATACTTGATCCGCTTTCATGCCGGCTTTATCTAGGATGTTCTGATATAATTTGATCTGTGCAGGCGATGAAGGAATGGTGATTGTAGCTGATAAGCCTCCTTGATTTGTCGCTGCTCCGGGAATAACACCTAGAATCTGGTCTCCATCTGCGACTGCCTCTCTCAGCAACTTTAAAACAACTAAACCCGCCCCCTCGGCTCTGCAATAGCCATCTGCTGTTCCACAAAAGGGTTTACATTGGCCCGTAGGACTCAGAAACCCAGCCTTTGCCAGATCCAAGTAATTGTTGATGCCTGTCATAATATTGATCCCACCAGCCAAAGCCATTGGACATTCTCCGGTTTGTATGGCCCGAACTGCTCGATGAATGGCTACGAGTGAGGAAGAACACGCCGTATCGATGACCTCCGCCGGACCACTCCACCCGAAGTAATAACTGATCTTGCCACACAGAAATGCCCTGATGGTTCCCGTTGATGTATAGGCGGTCGGGGCGTTCGAGTTGGTATTGTCGAGATACTCCACAAAACTAGCGCCTATAAAGCACCCTATAGGATCATTATGCTCACGCCTGTGCGAACGTAAATAACCACTTGATTCCATGGCTTCATATGCAAGCTCAAGCAAAACTCTTTGCTGGGGATCCATGTTCTGTGCTTCTCGTGGATTTGTGCGGAAGAACGCATGATCAAAGTCATCCGCATTGTCGAGGAAATTACCAAAGAACTTCCGTTTTCCAGCAAACTTCCAATCCTGCGAAGCTCTAAAACTACGTTGTAAATCAAAGCGATCGGTAGGAACCTCTTTCGCGACTGAAGCGCCTTTGGACATGAGGTCCCAAAGTTCTTCGAAGTTGTTTGCACCTGGTAAGCGGCATGAAACTCCGACCACAGCAATAGCATCACTTGGGAATGAGTAATGCGTTTCTTCGCGTGAGGTAGGAACCGGTGGTATAGCTTTATTGATGGCACTGAGGACGTCGAGCTTTGTTATACGTAACAACTTTTTGTGAAACGGTGCCAATGGGACACAATCCCCGATACCAAATGTCGCGAAAACATGTGATTTTCGCCCAGTATCCTCAAGATCGTGTGCTAATTGTGTAAGGAGAGTGTACCATTCGCATCTCGACGCCAAAATTGTATCTATAGCTTCGTGACTGAGGGATCCTTTTTCGACCAAATTTCCTGTCTTATTAGACCTCATTGGCGCCTGAAGCGCAGATGCTTGTGGAAGTTGCAAAAAGTCGACATTATCGCAGAGATCGCACAATTCTATTGAGAGCTCTGCATTCTCCGGATTGTGCACTTTTCCCCGAAGATGCATTTCTTGCACAAGTAGGCCTTGCTCGCGAGCATATGCCTGAACTTTGGCAAGTGTGGGTACCGACCCTACCATGCTTATAGTCTTAGGGTCGGTGACAGCGGAAATGTATGCCTAGAGTATGAATGTGGTTAGGATGCTGATATATTATTTCGGTCTCCTGGGTCAAGGACTAGAGATGGAAACCACTCACACCTGGGAACCTTTCCACTAACTCTTCCCCTTGTCCTATGTTTTTTAGACGAACAACAATTGTTGTTGGCCCTGCAATATCTTCATCGTCGCCCAACTCCCCATAAGCGCCTATTCCAAGCGCAATACGCATTGCTACGGATGCATACTTTGCTAGTTCCACTTCATCTTTCGAACATGCAATTGCCATCGCTGGCAATAGCCCACCACAATATCCTTGGATCCCTCCACCATTCCGAAGCTGACTCAAAAATTCAAAATGTTTGATACCGTTCAGTTCAAGAAACTGAAAATATTGACCGATCTGAATTATGACTAAGAGTGGCAATGAGAGTATCCCGGACATTGCATTGGCGATAGGCTCCGATTCACCAGTTGTCATCCATTCAGACATGTATCGCATATACCTGGGTCCTTGCCTCAGAGCTGCAATGTCTTCTCTTTGATTCGCAAATGTTTGCCATGTCTTCGGGAGATCTTTAATGTCTTGAACAAAGGGTTTCAAGAATGGGTTTCGGCAAAGAAAAGAATGGAGTCGATCGAGATAGCTCTTCTGTGGAGCTTTACTTTGTGGGCAAAATATGGCCACGGATGGCATATCGTCGAGGGTAGAGAGCATGGTGTACGTAGGAGTATCGTGTTTGAACCTCAGAAATATAATAAAGACGAGATGAATCGGTCAACTGGATGGGACTTAACACTCTACCTCAACTACACTATATGGTCGGTCATATAGCTTGATATATTTGAAGTCGTGATTGCTGACTACTTGGAGGTATCTCGGGGTTCAGTGATACAGACTTCTCTCAAGCATGCCGTCAATGGAAGATTTGTTTCCACAGTTCCATTCCGACAGCCACATTATTCAACGAAATTAACGTACCTTTCAATATTCTAAAACCGAGTAACTTATCCCGGTTACTTTTTCTTTCGCCCTCGGCATGTGTACCAGGAATCTACGACGCCTAATTGCATCCTTGGGTTTCTCGTCAGCTTGCACGAGGCACCTCTTACCGAATAATTTCCCTCGATGATTCACAGTTTTCTGTTCGGATAGAGGCTACATGTACTATGGAATGTGAGTACGACATATGTTGTATATCGAACTAAGATTCGGCGTTGACTGTACAAGCTTTTTCGTTACTACCGTTATCATCTCCCCGAAATCGCCAAGAGTTCCTTGTGGAAAACATATGTCTATTGCAATGACCATCACGCCTGCTCAACCCCTGAAAAGTATTGTATTCGTGTTCAGCATGCGACACACTTGCGATATTAGCGAAAGAACGCTCTGAGTTCGGACAATATAACCTAGTATAATTGACCTCTAATCGAACAGCGCGAAATTAGGCGGTGAGATATTTTCGATCTTTTCGGACACCTCGTTAAGACCTTGATATGATCTGTCTCGACAAGCAACGTTGTCTTGGTCTCATAGTATAAATTTCGGCATTTGCTTCAACTTACAATGGGAGATTGCTCAAGCAAAACACCTCCTAAATAATTGATTTCCATGGACTAATTCGGAGCTCTCTGCAGGATCTTCAGCCAACTCGAGCTCCCTAGGCGTCCATGTACATCTTGTTAATGGCTTCAATTGCACAGTTCTCTGGTAGGAGCCGCATTATCCCGTGAAGTACAGAGTACAGAATCCTGTGCTCCGGCGGCCCCTAAAAAACTTCGAACCACAACCAACAATTATTCTTTGTCAATGGATCACAGCGCCACAGCATTCTCTGCTCGAAACGCCGGTATGTCGGAATCACCATGCAAAGATATCTTGAATAATCGCCTAGAACAGTCCGGTTGTATTCCATGACAGAAGTTGGTGATTGGATGTTACGGCATTGATAACGTCTGGAGATACTTACCATTACCATTATCGAGGTGCCTCCCGGAAAAGGAACTCTCCGACTCTTGCAAGTTACCATCATTATTGTTTGTCTCTAAACCCACTAGTACCCCCACACTCAACCAATGAGTTCAATGCTGCGCTTCTTTTGTCCGACACAGCAGACTACGACAGACTCGAGACTTTCAGCAGCGCCACCACCCCAATTGTCGGATTTGCCATATGGGTTGATACGCCTTATAAGTGAACAACGGCGTGCATATCCATAGTGACCTTCGGGTTTCTTCCTCATACCACTTCAACATTTACAAGCAGCTCGGTGTAGAATGTACAAAATCGTGTCAAACATTAGGCTTTAAATCGCCAAGCCGCATCTCATGAGATCTGGGATCGAAATATGACATGTAATTGACTGCAACTTTGTTATCACATTGTACAGACCCAATGGCGGAATGCTGCATATTCATCATCCACTGGATATTTATTCTCCAAGATCCTGCCTTTCAAGCATGTTCACCTTATAGCCTTATCTATCGCAAGTATATTTATCGATTTGATATGCAATATGCACCCGAAGAGGTGACTCGAGTAGTTAGTTGTCTTGGGTACAATATGTACAGGCATCTTCCGAGAGTCAGAGTCTCATATCTAAGGTTGATATTTGTATTTGGTACATTGTTGTAAATTATATGAGACATGTGACGATGTAGCACGTGGTGCGAAAATATGGGAAATATTTGAAATATCTGAAATATCTGAAAGCGTGGGGCATGGGGGCTTAATGGGGGGTCTAGATGTTGTGTACAGTTGCACCGCAACTCGGGTGGTTTAAGACCTGAATCTCATGGCTCCAGTTCAGGATCTGCAAGTGGCAGAACCGATAGCTTAGGTGGCCCCCAGCATCACCCATATTTGCCCCAGAACTATTTCGAGGCTTCCTTTGGACTTTAGAGCTTAGCATGATTTGTGACATTGCCCAAACGTCGGTCTAAACATCAAAATCTTTCAGCTCTCCCCATTAATTCATGCGGATTTGTTGTTTGTCTTTCAATTTGACTTCGCATATTATATTTCCAATACTTGTGTTGCGTTCATGAAGATCTCCCCAAGCTTTTATGAGTTTTGATTGAGTTTTATATCAACACGGGCCTCCTTCAAATTATGCCCATCAATTGACATGGTAGATTTGTTGTGGTGGTATTAAACGTTTCTCACATAACGTCTATGTCCCACTATCGGATTGAAAATGACCGAATTTTTCAACTAGATTTAGATAACAGCCAAGAAACTCAATGTGGACTGTAATCAAGTCATTCTGAATAGCAATGGTACTGGTGACCAAACCAGGACATATTTGATAGGTCGATCATTTCCCTCCATCTAATTTCTCTACACTTGCAGTACTTCGAGTCTCTTCCGATCAAACATTTCGCTCTCCAATGATGCCATTTTCACCACTGCCGGTGGTAACATTTTCAGCCAATGTTTCTTTTTTAGTAACCCGAGCCTGCTCAATCTGATCCTTCAGCCTTGGGAATAAATTCAATGCCGTTCCTCTCATCACAGCCTTTCCTTCTTCTCCATTCTTATGCATCCATCCGTCCAGAAATCCCAACTCCTTCACCGTAGTCTTCTCCCTGATAAACGGAAAATCACTCCCATATGTGGTTTTACCTGGCCCCAACCACCCCTCTATATATTCCAGAGGTCCGCTATAACTGCTCGCTGCCATGTCTGTATAAAAGCTTTTAGCTTCCCGCATGAAGTGCTCGGGCGTTTTGACACTGAGAGAAGCGTCATAAGTCAAGTTAGCTACGCGTGTGCTGATGTAGGGAAGGGTGCCGCCTGCGTGTGAAAGAATGATTTTGAGATCAGGGTAAGAGGATAAGGTATTGGAATATATGAGTGAGCAGGCTGTGCGGGTTGTTTCATGAGTGAAGTCTATAATAGGAGGTATTAATGAGGCGTGAATTGGAGGTGACGGGGAGGATGAATTGGCAATAGGGTGAATGAATATCACTGCGTTGACCCGATTCAATTCTTCCCAAATAGGACGAAATGATGCGTGTCCGAGGTATCTTCCATCGTAGCTAGTCAGAAGTGTGACACCTTCAGGATTGAGCTCTTCGTAGCAAAACTTGATGCTGGAGAGTACGTCCGGGAGAGAAGATTCGGTTATCGCGGGAATAGTGGCGAAGAAACCGAATTTAGTGGGATATTGGAGACGCAAATTGTGGGCATAGATGTTTATTTGTTGGCAGAGGGAAGCATCGGTGAGGGCGGTATGAGCAAATGATAATATCGAGGTAGATATACCATTTCGGGTCATGAAATCGAGAGAGATTTGTGGGGACCACGAAGGAAATATTAAGCCACCGGGTGCTTTTGGTTGCTGTTTGATATCTGGTAATAGTGGTCAGAGCTGCATGGGAAATATGAAGCGAAAGCTACCAAAGAGAAATCCTGTGAGGGGTAATTGGGCATATGCATACGGTCAAGGTAAATGGGTGGAATCATATGGTGATGGGTGTCAATTTTCTCCATTGTTCTTGATGATTGAGTAGTTGGTGAAATACCAGTAATTCTTGGTCTTGGTGTGATATGTCTAAGACGAAACTTCTGGAAGTGGTAAAGTATGAAAAGGCTCACGTCTTCTCTATTGACTTTGAAGTTGATTAGGGAATGCTATCGCAGTTGGTAGGTGGAACTTACTATAGAAGACGACAAATGTTATTGTGAAGACCACAGCAACGATTATGATGCATACTGCTACTGCAGATAGTGCTGACATCTTGTATTCCTTTTAACCACACTCGGCTTTCTAATAGAATGAGATGCATATGCAGCATGAATTGAAAATGGAATTGAGGGTATTGTGGATGCCACTTTGCATAAACTAATAATTAACACCATAAATGCGCACACTGGCGCGTATACATTGATGCAATTGTGCGATACCATCATCATCAATATGGTTAATGACCGCTCAAATCCGATGATTACATTTGGTACTCCATCGTCCAACTTCGAGATACCGTATAACAGAACCGGAAACTCCGATTGCATCCCATCCTAGATCTATACTCCGACTATACAACTTAAATCTGGATTTACTCACAATCATTCTGAAATCAGAGAGACAGCATTAAAGGTTGCCGTCTCATGTCTGATCTTTCTACAGTTCTCCAATAGATGAGTTATTCAACTTCATCTCTGGACAACTAGACAGTGAATAGTTGGTCTACATATTGTCGCAGGTCAATTTTAATCCATCGGACTTAACCTTTGATCCGACCAGCTGAGGACTTGCACATCATTTCCACGGCCGGCCAATGTATATGGCAATACGACTTGCAGGATAAAATTATGGATTAGCGCAAGTAAGGTCTTGGAAACAAGTCCGAAGGGTGAAACACATCCCATAGACCTTGAAAGCATACCAATAGAAATCCCTGATAACACGCTTGCGTCATATCACAATCCCGATCTTCAGGGCCAGCAATCAAGTGTTTCACGGGGGGTTGACCGAGATGTAACTCGGTGTAACTCAACTCATTTAATTCCACCATATGACTGGCTCTACCCCGACAAAGGGTTGATAGATGCCCCTTTCAATGCCTAGCTATTGGATGTACGATGGCTTGCTTGTTCTTGCTGGAAACCTACCGTGAAACAGCTGAAGGGTACAGCTGAGTCGATAGTGACAAGCTAGAAATCAAAACTGAGGTAGAGGTGCATGATTTCCGATGATGTTAAAAGACACAGCATGCAGCCGAGTTGGTATTATCCGGCACATTAGTATCCACATACCTTACCGACCGCCGCTAGTGCGACGTTGTGTGAGGGTTACACCTCCTTCGAGGTTGCAGCTATAATGTGTAACTATAGTACCCCCGTGCATCAAGACACGATGCTCTAATCCTGGGTTATTTTATCTCCACTGTCTTGGAATAGGATTAATTTAGTGGTCGATAATCCTGAAAGCATCGGTCTGGTATTGACCCGAAGGAGTGTTGCGTAGGCTGTGTTGTCCTTCATGTAGGCATTTTCTCGACGGTTTTTTTGTAGTCGAGGATCTGAAGTTCTTTTCCCTTTGATTCATTAATCATGTCGTCGATGAGCTTGCTGCCAAGTACCAACGAAATAATAGTATTCGCAGTATTTTTGTTTGTTTTTGTAAGCATTCCATCTCTGTCGAACAACCGTCGTGAAAGTAACGAATTTTAGTATTATGTCGTATTTGCAATCTACAATCTCTATTTCTCACCGCTGTCCAAATTCCCGGGTCCAAAACGTCTGGCTATCTCTAGACTACCTCTGATACGATATGTGATTCTTGGAACCACCTACAAATATCTCGATAAGCTTCACGAAAAATATGGTCCCGTGGTTCGAATTGCTCCGGACGAGCTAACCACCATTTCTCCAGAGGCATGGAAGGATGTCTACACCAGGAGGCCTCAAATGACGAAAGATCCATTCAGCATGACTCCTCCTATGAACGGCGCAGAGTCTTTGTTCACGGCAACTGGTGATACGCACGTTCGCATCCGGAGGAATTTCGCCAATGCTTTTTCCGACAAAGCACTCCGAGAGCAAAGCAAGATCATTGAAGGGTATATAGAGCTATTGCTTCAAAGGTTGAGACGTGAGACGGCAAAAAGCCCTTCCGATGAAGTCGACCTGGCGAAATTCTTTGGATATTTATCACTGGATGTATATGCTGATTTAATGTTCGGAGAATCTTTCCACGGTCTTGAAGGCGAAAACGAGCACTCTTGGATCTTGGGCTTTTTTCTCGGTGCCAAGTTTGGATCTGTGAGAAATAGTATTCAAAGATTTCATCCTATGGAAGTCATCTTCGGTTGGATATTCCTGCGACTAACCGCGAAAATGCGAGCACAAAATTGGAAGCTTGCGACAGATAGAATCACCAATAGGCTAGAGATGGGAGACCTTGGATTCGAAAGATCTGATTTTGTCAGCCCGATTATCGGGAATGTGAATGAGTCGGAAGGTGGAAAGGGGATAACGAGAAAGGAATTGAATACTAATGGGCTTGCGATTGTGATCGCGGGATGCCAATTACCTACGGTAGCACTGGCAACTGCGTGCTATTTCTTGATGAGATATCCGGAAACGATGAGGATACTCACTGAAGAGGTGAGGTCGCATTACTCTAGAGAAAAGGACATCAATGTACAGTCGACGACGGAGTTGCCTTATTTGGAAGCAGTCATCAATGAGACGCTGAGAATTCATCATCCTACGCCAATCCATTTGCCTAGGAATGTTCCTCCTGAAGGTGCAGCTATCGCGGGCCAATGGGTACCCGGTGGAGTAATATACGTCAATGCCTCCTTATTGATCATAGCTGACATTATTACAGAGCGTAATCGGCGTGGCAATGCAAACAGCTCAGACCTCGCCTATAAACTTCTTCGAGCCAAAGGTCTTCCATCCCGAACGTTTCCTGCCAGAATCTCACCCCTTGTATGATCTTCGATTTGCAAGGGATCAAAGGGAAGCATTCAAGCCTTTCTCAGCCGGTCCACGAAACTGTATGGGCGGAAAGTATGATCATTCACCTAACTCAACATACACGATTAGACATGCTGATGGTCGACACTAGAACATTCTTGGCGCAAGCCCGCGTAACACTTGCCAGAATGTTATGGAATTTTGAAATGGAATTGGTGGACAAGGATGACTGGAACTGGACTGATCAGCGGGCGTATCTTGTGTTTGAACCTAAAGCTTTGCATGTAAGGTTGAAGGAAAGAGGTGTCTGAGACTGGGACAAGGTATTCAACATACCAACGCAGTGAAATATCAACGGATAGTTGTTAGTAGATACTCAGTTGCATATCAATATTTCAAATGTTATAGTATGTCACGACTGGTTACTATAACATAAACAACATCATAAACATCATGAATTCTATACTTTCTTTTATTCAAATTTATATGTTTGACGTTCTAAATATTATATAATTAAGTAATTAAAATATAAATGATATTCTAGTTCATTATAGTTGTTAGAAGGTCGTACGTACGCATATACATCGGGTATATAGGGCTATCTCGCTTATACTTATCTCTAGTGTATTCTCTGTTATCATATACGCACAGTAGTATAGCTTAGATTATCTCTCTTAATATAATCTGCATCCTGCACTTCTCACAGGTTATGAAGCCCGTGTTGTCGATATCTCTACTAGCAACTTGCAATATCGATCAACATAATAAACTAGAACCCCCCTTTGTTTATTTCAGAATAAAGCCCTTTGTTTATTCCCCAGCCCGGCTGGCATTTAAATATGGCACCATCAAATCCCTCCGAAACTCCATCCGTATCAAATACAAGATGGGGTACTGTCGTCATCTTCAAGGGCGACAACTGGAATGAGTTCTATGAATCATGCCTAGGTGCATTAGCTGCTGCTGAGGCTCTAGCTATTGTACAAGGAGATGAAGTTGGACCTGTCGATGCTCTTGACATAACTTATGTTGCAGAGATGAATTCTTTCAAGAAAAAGCGTGGATACGCCATTTCTATCATCAACCCTGCAGTCAACTCTGCAGTCAACTCTGTTTACCGTTCCTCTCTTGTTCCTTTTCTTGCTACATATGATGTAGTTGGTATGTGGAATCGACTTAAGGAACATAACTATACAATTCATCCGCAATATATCGCCGAAATCCGAAAGCAGTTTCACCTCGAAGACTTCGACCCAAAGACACAAACTCTACGTCAATTCCTTGAACGCCTTCTTAATTATCAAAGCAAGACCTCTACTAGTGATAGAGCTATCAGCGACGAAGAGGTTTATGCGCAACTTATGAACAAGATTCCAGAGACGGAGAGCTGGCAAACTCGGAGGAACTTCGCCATCAACTCTAATCAAACACTCCAGGAGGCGATGGTCACCCTAACGATTGCTGAGAAGCCGTATGCTGCTACAGCTAATTACGCTGGCATAGGGGGCAGAGGACGTGGTGGAAATCGAGGCGGACGAGGCGGACGAGGTCGTGGCAAAGGACGTGGTGGAAACGGTGGAACTGGAGGTGATTCAGGCGGTACTTCAGGAGGACGAGTCGAAAAGGTCTCGAAGGATCAGTGTAGATTCTGTCTCAAGAAAGGTCATTTCATGAAATATTGTTGTTCTTTCTTGAAAGCTAGGAAGGACGCTCAAGGTGGCAAGGGTAGCAAGGGAGACAAAGGAAAGGATGATGAAGATGAAGGATAAGCTAGCATGGCTATAGGAGATCAATACAACGGTACCATCTATTCTGGGATTGCTATGCGTGCAGTTGACACAAATGCCGACACCTGGATTCTTAACTCTGGAGCCTCAAATCACTTTACCGGCATATTAGAAAACCTCGAACATTTTCAGTACTGGAAAGAACCAAGAAAGGTGAAGATTGCCGACAATACCTGTACTATAAGTACTAGATTCGGCAAAGCAAAGATAGGTCGTCTAGTACTTGAAGATATCTGGTATGTTAAAGACTTCAGATCTACTCAATTGATCTCAGTTGGTCTATTGGCGAACTCAGGAAGTAAAGTGATCTTTGAAGGAGAATCAGGATCCTGCTGGAAGTACAGTCAACTCCAATTCGCAGTGAAACGTACAAAAGGAACCTACATCTACAAATAGGCTGCGCAGAAATACTCCGCTACCCGTGGGGACCCGTTGATGATATTTTAGACCCGCGGGGGACCCGTTGAGCTTTCAAAATTATCCGCCCCGCAAATACTCTGCAAATTTATTAATTTTTATAATA